AACCATATAGATTAATAAACATCGTCAACTTCTTTGACGGTTCGTTGACTAGACTCCCACTCAGCGCACACGTCAGCTCATAAATCAACTACATTTGCGACGTAAGTGCCACGTCATATTTTACTTTAAAAATAAATAAAAATTAATACATTAATTTATTCTTTCTCAATTACATGGCCATTTAGATTAATAAACAATCGAAGGGACATTGGTTGAGAAAATTATCCAGAAAACATTAAATTGAACTCATAGAAAATCCCCTCCACCATCGTCATCTGCTCCGCTACAAAAAGCAGCCGTAACCGCTACCGCTGCTCGCTCGGCCTTTTTGGTCCTTCGTCGTCGCCTACAAATCCATCCCTCCAATCTAGTTATCTCTCAAACCCGTCCCGCAACAACCGTTTTCCCCCCAGTACGTCCTCAGAATCTCTCTCCTAGCGGCAACTTCGATTGAAGCGACGACCAGTCGACTAGTGACGGGTGGAGGAGATCCTTGAGAGCCGCCGCCTTCGAAAGCTCCGCTTGCTTCATCTCGATTCCCCTCCAGCCAATCCCTAGGACACATAATAGTTTCAGCACAGCTCCTCCCACAGCGGGTTCGCCTTCCTTCGCGAAACCCACTCCCAAATGCCACGCCACTGCTAGACCCACTAGGTCACTACCAAAATTCAAAATCTGGAATCGCTGAAGAAAGTTCCTGCCGGCGACGAGTCACCTCTACTATTTGTTGGGTCTTGCTCGTCGGTGGGCGGTGACGATGTCGATTCTCCTGGATCGACTAAATCTATTGAATAGAGAAGCTGGGTGGTTGCTCTGCTATTTGTAGTGACGGGAGGAAACTGATGGCTGTCGATTGATCGACCTGAGGGAGCGAGCACCGGCGGTTGGAACTGGATTGGGATTCTAATGGGTTGAACTGGTACTCGAGATGATGGCCTCAGAATTAAAGGGCATATAAAAAGAATCGGAGAAGAAAGAGGGGAGGAAGGGAGGAGGAGGGAGGAAGTTGGACGACATTAGGGAAGATTAGGAGAGATGGAGAGGCTGATTTTTCTCTCTTTATTATTTTTTTATTTTTTTATCATCATAAATATAAAATTCAAAATTGGCTAGAAGTATTCGCCATGTCAGCATTTCCGTTTGTCCAGTCAAAGATAACACTAACACCGTTAAAGAATTGGACGGAAGTGGCTATAAGTGGTATTTCTCCAAAATTGGCTATTATTGTCACAAACACGAAGGCTATACAAGTGTATTTTGCCTTATTTTTAATTGGACTCGACATTGAGCTGAAAAAATTAGTGGTTCATGGTTCAATTATAAATTCTCTAAATAGTTGGTGAGCCATGTATGAACCGGTTCATACCTGTGATTAGAATACATAAAAATAGTATAACAATTAGGGTTAGGCGAAGAAAGCAAAAAAAGAAATAAAGAAAAGGTTATGGAAGGAGAGTGAAAAATGAAACAAAGAGAAAGTAAATGATAGAAAGCTTTGGTCATTTTTGTACTAATATTAACTTTTAAATTGCTGCTGATTTTTTTAAACATTGGTCTATTAAAATATCATACAAAAACTTCATATAGATCAATATCTTAATGTACTCGTATTATATTTTAGGGTGTGCCTACGGTGACATGCATGTCACGGTGACTTGCACCTTCCGGTCGACCTCAGTTAGGATTAGGTCGACCTCATTTAGAATTCGGTCGACCTCATATAGGATCTGGTCGACCTCATATAGGATCAGGTCGACCTAATCTGTTGTTTCAGTGTAAAAACAGTTCATGGTGCCTACTTTGGATATTCATATCATACAATTGGCTAGATGGAAATTGAAGACTAATGACTTGTTTTGAAGCTGGACTGTCCCTCTACATATTGAAGTGATTGAGAGCTCGATAGAAAGTTCAGAAGACCATTTTTGAACCTCATCAAAAGGCTATGCCAAAACTGGGAAACTGCCTAGAAATGGCCAAGTCTGGAAACGTGTTTGTGAAGCCTATTTTGGAGCTCCATTCGAGAAGCATGAATGCGAGTCGAGTCCAGGAGCCTCTACCACGTTAAATTAGGTATGTTTTTATACAAATTCAAGGCATTGGATGAAAGATTGGATATCTGTAAGGCTTCAAACAAAATGGTTGAAGTTGCTACGAAGGCTGTTTTTCTGGCAGACTTCGAGCACAAGCAAGCTGCCAGAAAAACAGCCATCGTAGCAACTTCGAGCCTTTTGTTTGAAGCCTTAAAGATATTCAATCTTTCATCCAATACCTTGCCTTTGTATAAAAAAAATACGTAATTTAATGTGGTAGAGGCCCCTGGACTTGACTCGCATCCATGCTTCTCAAATTGAGCTCCAAAGAGGCTTGACAAACACGTTGCCAGACTTAGCCATTTTCAGGCAGTTTTCCAGTTTTGGCATAGCCTTTTGGTCAGGTTCAAAAATGGTCTTCTGGACTTTCTATTGAGCTCCCAAGTACTTTAATGTGTAGAGGGACACTTCAGCTTCAAAACAAGCCTTTAATCTCCAATTTCCATCTAGACAATTGTAAGATATGAATCTCCAAAGTAGGCACCATGAAACTGTTTTTACACTGAAACAACAGATTAGGTCGACCTGATCCTATATGAGGTCGACCGAAAAGTGCATGTCACCCTAGCAAAGTCCTATATTTTACTAAGTATGTTCTCATGTTACTGAATAGAATGTTCTTTTAAAAACTGGTAATTATTATTTCAAATGGATAGCATACATATTTTTTTGAAGTAAAAATCCCATGGAAGACCAAAATTGTCGAATCTTCTCCTACAGTTGAGTGATACAACATCTTGTATGGTACAAACTAAATTTATATTTTGATGTTATGGTGGATTGGATTCATGGATTGGTGGATTCGATTAGTAGATTCAAGTGAATCTAAACATTCGACCAATATGTAAATTAAAAAAATTATAGGTACGAAAACTCATAAAATTAAGATAACAAAACATAATTGTTCAATGATTTTACATTAAAATTAAATTTGGGACATCAAAATGTAAAATGTACATTATTAACTAAGTTGTGATTTAATTAAATTTAAAGTATCAAAATGCCATTATTTAGGTAACAGTAAACCAACTTCACATTTATATATATTAATAGGTCGACTAGTTGCTTTGTGTTTTGATGGATTGAGTTTGTTACTTATTATCAGTCTACCCGAAATAAAAAAAATTTAATTTTAAATTTCTGTAATAATTTTAGTTATCCAAATATTTTGATTATTTTTTCCGTTGTTATTAAAAAATAAAACGAATTAAATAAATTTATATTTTAAAATTTTATTTCGGGTTTGTTGACGTGGGAAGTGATCTGGCGCTTGACTAACAGTCAATGAAGTTGACCGTCCAATTGGCCGTCAAAACCCTCGCTCGGCCAAGCAAAGAAGTATGGTGCATAGTTCGGGATAGGCCAGAGAAGCAATTTCAGAAACCACGAGTCAAAGTAGAAAGTTTAGATATAGTTCAGGTCAAAATAAAGTATTCCTTTTTGTTAAGGGTAGTACCGTACTGTTCATTTTTTTTATCGGACTGTTCAATCTTTAACAAATAAGCAACTAATGTTTCTAATTCATAATAGCTCAAGTCCATTACAAATTCTTCATAATTTAAATTCATTATCCGTAAAATCAGATTTTTTCTGTATCCAAGTAGCAAACAAATGCTAAATTCCCACGATCAATTGAAGAACTTGTTTATGAGCCTTTATTGCTTAGTGCTGATGAGTAATTAACACGTTGTAAGAAAGCAGTTAAGGTTCTTACATGGAAGATTTAATCATGATATAAGTGTTATTAATATAAATTTTTTTGGGTCGTTTGGATGGATCAATCTTGAAATGAGTCAATTTGATCAATTGTCTCGTTTTATAAATGAGACAATTAAAATGAGTCAATTCGAATTACCTACCCCCACCCCAAGTAATTGAAATTGACTCAAAACGGATCAATTTAAAATACCTCGGGCAGATTGATCCATCCAAATATTTTGCTGACAAACGAGGCAATTTGGTACAAATGAGACAATTGTGTCAAATTGATCCGTTACAATTCCTCATCCAAACGAACCTTTATGAAATGATATAAGAGAAGATTAAATCATATGATATCATGTGTTCAATTTTGCCCCGTCAGTCTCAATGCCAATAAATGATTTAAATTGACTTTTTGACATATAAATTCAATCCATTTTAAGCTCACTTGATTGATCTGAAAATATTCATTGTATTTGAACTTATGATGTTGTATGTTATGAGTGGAAGCAGAACAAACAAAGGTTTAAAAAAAGGGTTAATACTTTAGTTTGGCCCGAACTATACACAAACTTTCTACTTTGGCCCGTGTTTTCCGAAATTGCTATCCTGGTCTGAACTATGTACTATACTTCCTAATTTGGCCTGGGGTCAGGTTTGACCGTCAAATTGGACGGTCAACTCCGTTGATCGTTAGTTAAGTGCCAACTAACTTGCCACATCAGCAAACATGGAATAAAAAAATTTATTTTTTTGTTTCCATATTCATTTTCTTTTCTGATAATAATAACAAACAAAAAAAAAATCTAATTTATCCCCTTCTTCCCTGAAACAAAACCCATTCTCCTTCCTATTCTCCGCCGCCGGCGGCAACCCAACTCTTCTATTTCCCTTTCTTTGGCAGGTGCAGAAGAAAAAAAAATCCAGCTCTCAAATAAATAAATAAATCCCCAATTTTTCCGCCATTGTTAACTCTGCTTATTCCCTTCCCTTGCCACCCATCAAGATTACTTCCCACAATCCAGCAGACCGTAGATCCAGGCACCAATCCGACGACGACTTTGGCGGCGGCAGAGGAAAACAAGGATGTCGTCGTTTGAGGAGCAGATGTTTCCGTCGAAGCTGCAGAAGTTCAAGATCGACCGGAGCAGCCATCATCACGCGATGAACCGGCAGTTCCACTAGTGCTTCTCCTCCACCAGCACGATGTTCCTGTGGGTGCTGTTCTTGATCGCTTTGACAGTCATACCTGAGCTTTCAGAGCTTCGTCGATTCCGGGAGCACGTAGTTCACGACGTCGTGGGGCGGGATCGAGTGGGAGAATCAGTTGTTGAATTCGGCCCAGATCCACCGCGGCGGCGGGATGTCGGTGCTGGTCACCGACGCGGCCGGGTTGCCGGTGTCGGAGGAGAATGGGAAGGAGGATGGGTTTGGTTTCGGGCAGGTTGGCGATGTCAGAGGAGATTGGGAAGGAGGATAGGTTTGGTTTCGGGGAAGAAGGGGATAAATTGGGTTATTTATTTATTTTTGTTTATTATTATTATTAGAAAAGAAAATTAATATATAAACAAAAAATAAATTTTTTTATTTCATGTTCGTGGCAAGTGAGCTAGTCATTGACTAACGGTCAACTCCAATTTGACGGTCAAACCCGGCTCCAGACCAAATTAGGAATTATGGTATATAGTTCAAACCAGAATAGCAATTTCGGAAACCACAGACCAAAATAGAAAGTTTGTGTATAGTTCGGGCCAAACTAAGGTATTAACCCTTAAAAAATATAAGAACCTTTAACTTCATTGTATTATATCGCACCTTTTTAAGCTCACTCACGTTAGGAAAGATTAAACTCACTCGACAAATTATCAATCCAGCATCTGCTATAAATACCCCAAAACCCCATTTATTCAAATTCAATCCATCCCATCCCATCCCCTGCTTTTCAAACTCAAAGATCATTCTCTGTTCTCCAAATCTCCTCCCACCTCACTAATCATTTATTTAGCGACCATATTTCAGACTTTCTAGCGACGAATTTAAATTCAAAGGAAAAAATTGGAATTGATGAACGCGCTGCCGGAAGACTGTCTCTCCTCAATCCTCTGTTTCACTTCCCCACAGGACGCCTGCCGATCATCGGCGGTCTCCCCCGAGTTTCATTCCGTTGCCCAATCCGACACCGTCTGGCAGAATTTCCTCCCTTCCGATTACCGCCGCATTATCGCCGATTCCGTTCCCGCCCTCCAATTCTCCACCAAGAAGGAGCTCTACCGCAAGCTCTGCGACTCTGTTCTCGTCGACGGCGGCCGAAAGGTGGGTTTTTTTTTTATTACATATTTAGCTTTTTTTTTAACTGATTCCATTTGGGTTTTCCCTAATCTTATATTTTGGGGATTTGCTTGCAGAGGTTGAAGCTGGAGAAGTTGTCAGGGAAGAAATGTTTCGAATTGTCGGCCAGAGATCTTTCCATAACTTGGAGCAGTGAATCGATGTACTGGACTTGGACTCCGCTTCCTGAATCAAGGTAGAAACTTTTTTTCTCGAGCACCAAACAGACACTAAAAATTTCAGGGGATTCGAATTCTGAGACTCTAAAGTAATGAACTTACTCACGTGGCAATGATTGATTCCCTTTTAGATTCTCGGAGGTTGCCGTGCTGCGGACAATGTCGTGGCTCGAGATCCAAGGCAAAATCAACACCCAAATGCTAACTCCCAACACCAAATACGGAGCCTACCTCGTACTGAAATTATCCAATCGGGCTTTTGGCCTCGATCTGATGCCATCCGATGTCTCGGTTCAAGTCGGTAACAAAGAAGAGTGTCAAAACACGGCGTACCTACGGCGACAGAAAAATAGCCACGTGGAGTTTATGGAAACGTTGATGTATGGACACCGGACGGAGGCGCTGAAGTCGATGGTGGCCGGCGGTGGGGGAGAAGGGAGGTTGCCGGCGGAGAGGGAGGACGGGTGGCTGGAACTTGAGATTGGGGACTTCTTTAACAGGGAGAAGAGTGAGGAAGTGAAGATGGGCTTGAAGGAAGTGAAGGGCCACCATCTGAAAGGTGGGCTTATTGTCCATGGAATTGAGATCAGGCCCAAACACTGAATGGAGATAATTCTTTTATTTTTGTTTTCCTTATAATTTATACTTGGAAAAAAGAATTTAGGTTCAAGGAAACTGATTCTTTATTTGAGACATTTGCCATAAAAAAAAGTAACAACCATCTAACCTATCTTTAGGAACTTTTCTATATACGTTTTTGTAGGAACCATAAAATTAATTTTGGAGACCCGTTTCCAGAAAAACAAGATGATCCTACTTTTCTCCATATTATTCACATAATATGTATTTAAAGAAATTTTAATATATGCAAAACATAAAAAAAAGTGGTGCGAAACAAGAAATTTTACACGCAACTAAAAATTCTAGAGCAGCCGTCAAAGGTCATCCTTGTCACGAATTATGATTCGTCGATCCACCTCCAAGTCACATACCAAAGACAAAAATCATCGCTTCCGCCAGAGGATGAGAAGTTGAAGAGAAGAATCTACCCCACAAGATGCAGTCGATTGGTCGAGGAAGACACCAGGAAAATCATATCTTGAGCCTCTAGATAGAACAATCGGTTATCGATTACGAGCAAAAAAAAAAAAAAGAGTTTGATCCTAATAGGACCATTCCATTTTCATAAATCTTTCCATACATCCGCTTTTCTTCATCAAGCTCATTAGCTACAAGTTTGTAGGTTGGTTTTAATATAAATCTTCCATATAGTTGAATGCCCTAGATAGTCTCATCCTCCCCAACTCAGGTTGTGGGAGTAGGACTAGGAAGGAGTATCCATTCCTGCAATGAGTGACAATTGAAATACTTCGAAAGAATTACATCATGGTTCATGAGTCATGCACACATGACACAACAAAGGTAATTGAAGGATAAAGAGGAAAGCAAAAAGGACAGTGACAGAAGTCTTAGATAATGCCTAGAAAAGAGACCAAAGCTAAGCTTAGCTTTACATCAGTCGTCCATCGAGAATAATGGGTCATCACACTAATCAAATAAGATTACATTTCGTTTTTTTCCTTAATCGCTTAATAATTTTTGGTGGATGGGGTAGCAGTGATGACCCTTAGGAACCCTTACAAAGTGACTTGCTTTAATTAACTATTATATTAGCAGATAAAACTACTTATGCACCAAAGTAATTAACGCGTCAATGGCTTTGTCGTCGTAACAAAACAGGAAAGGAGGTCGATGTTCTCTAAACTATATATATTCGATAGGTTGCGCAACATGAGAAAACAAGAGGCTTGACTCTTGAGTACCATTTACAATGGGCGCTTTTTCCAGGCAACATCGGAAGAGGATCCAGAAATTCTCATGTCTTTGCCGTGGTTTTGCTCAAGAGGATCCTGAAATTCTCCATGTATCAGAATGCAGGGGCTCGGCGCGGCCGCGTACATTTTTACTAGACTTAGTTTTCTATAGCTAAAGAAGTGGGGGTTCAGATTATATCTCGGCTACCCTCTAATTTTTTGTAAACCTTTGTTTGTTCTGTTTCCTCTCATATTAGTTTGAAGAATAATAATAACAATAATAATTGGATTAATATCCACGTTATACAAAAACTTTACCAAAAGAAATGCCTATCTAATGTACATCCTCTCTTTTGGTGCTTATTAAACTTTAGTTAATATTAAGTTCTAATCTTCGAATTCGAAATTTTAATTGTTGGTATTTGTTTGATATGGTGATATAGTATAGAATCACAATTTACAACCACACTCTATGCATTTTAACTCATAAATGTTCACTTAAAATGAACATTAGATGGATCTTCGAAGTTTTGTTGGAAAAGGTTAAAAGTACATGTGAATTATCAATAAGTTCATATTTTTTGTCTTGTATATTGTATACAACTGAATAATGAGATTATTTCGAGACAATTATATAGTCAAAATGACGATTTTAAGTGCCAAAATAGAGGATGTAGCACAGATGCATGATGCATCAATAATAAAATTATATTAGCATTATAATAGTGAGATGGCGAGTAAGGAAAAATCAAAACATCTGTGTGTTCAGATGGTGGACAGAGTTGGACTAGGACTTTTCTTCGTCCAGGCAGGCATGTACAAATATGGGGCGGATGCTTATCGCCGGGAGTGGATCAAAATATTCGTGGGATGTGGATATAGTATATTGACCATTAAAAAATGTTAGTAATTCGACTATATATAAATTATATCAATATGAAATTATTACTAAACACATGGAGTCGGAAATCTAAATGAGGGGTTCAAATATCTATGTTTAATGGATTTGAATCATGATCATTAGAATGGAAGCTAAATCTTACCAATTAGTATGTTTTTCAAATTTATTTACAAATTTAATTTACATATAAATTTATCTACATTTCAAAGTTGAGAGGTTGAATTTAACGTGGCTCCATCACTAAATAGTTAATTATTTTAGAGCCCGTTTAGTATCATTGTCTGTTTTTATTTTCTGTTGTGATTTTAAAAATTGTGAAAATCAATAAAAAAACATGTTTAGTTGGGTTTTCAAATTTTGTTGTGCAATAGATTTGAGCAACCAGGCCCAAATTAACAAACCGTCAAATTGTAGCTTCGGAGGCGTTGCACGCGGGTTTCCCCTTTCATTAATTGATAGCAATAATTATTTTATTTCTTTATTCCATAAACCTTTCTTCTTCCTTCTCTAATAGCGTATCGTCCTCTTTCTTTCTTCCTTTGTGTGCCGATGACACCGACGACCCCAACACTCACATCACCGACGATCCGCTTCCCCTTTCCCCATCCCTACAATCCCAAATCATAGTGTCAACGACCCCAATCCTCTCCCCCGTTCATGCAATTCAAGCCCATTGTTACTCTTGTCCCGATTATGTCATTTAATGGGTTCTTGCATCTCGTCTGTAATGGCAATGGCAAGGTCACTTCTCATTACAAATTTTGCTGCATTTTTCCCGATCGAAATAAAGGATTGAAAAAATTGAAAAAAGCCGCGACAGAGAAAGTGTGAGAGACCGATTTGAGTTGCTGATTTTTCTGCGTGACTGGCTAATTTTTCTGTTTAGTATGGTTGTTGATTTGTGTTTTGTTGGTGTTGTTGTTTCTCTTGTGTTTACTCAACCTTTTCAAAACATAACAGAATAGAAACTGTACTAAACAGGGCCTTAGTTGATGGTACAATTAGGGATGACAATGAAACGAGTATGGGTAGAGTTTTCTAAACCATCGTGATCCCCATTTTCAAATATTCAAATCCATACCCACTCTATACTCCGAATGAAGTTTTGCAAACCTTGTAAATTATGATATTAGTATACTCAATCAACATGTAGATCTTTAATTATAAATAAACAAACCTAGCAAATTATGACATCTTTAAAAAAATACAATCATTCTTAGAAAGAATTTCAAAGCATTCATTCTTAAAACACTTGTTAATCTATAAAAAAAAAAACACTTGTTAATCCATAAGACAAATAAGAATAAGAATCAAAGAAAAGACTTTTACTTACCAAAA